GCTGAGGGACAGCACCCAGGCCCAGAGTTCAGGCCCCACGACCAGACCCCCCCAAAATATATATATATATATATATATATATATATATATATATAATGTAGCTGGGAATATGAGATATAGATACAATTGAAATGAATACCTAATAAGCAGTACAGGGTAGCTTGTGTATCTCTAAACTCCATGTGGAAACAGAAAATCAACTCAGAGAAAAGGTATCTTTTCAGGATGAGTTAAGTGAGCTCTAATTCATGACAGCAAGAACTGGAGTAGGCTTCAAAACACCTAAATCTGGAAAAAAAACTGTAACTAAGGGAACAAGCAAAAGTATAACCCCAAACAGAAGGATTTAAAAGAGCTAAGTAAACTTGCTCCAGGGTCTCATACCTGTAATCCTAGCTACTCAGGAGGCTGAGATCTAAGATCTAAGGATCACAGCTGGAAGCCAGTGGGGGAGGAAAGTGTGAAAGACTCTCATCTCCAAAAAAGTACTCAGAAAAAGCTGGAAGTGGTGTTATGGCTCAATGATAGAGTGCTATCCTTGAGCAAAAGCTCAAGGACAGTGGCTCAAGCCCAGAGTTCAAGCCCCAGGATGGGCAGAAAAAGAAAAGAAAAGAAAAAAAAGAAAGAAACATGATATAGTTACAACCAACAGGTAGTGTTTAGAAATCCTTTTCCTTATAAAGGAATTATTTTTTGTAAATCTATGATGTACTGCTATGTTTACAGATTCAAAAAAATATACTTCAAAATATTACATACAAAGTACCCAACTAGAAATTACAGAACACACACGCACACGCACACGCACACGCACACACACACACACACACACACACACACCCTAATAGTTTTATTAAATCAATGGTATTCTGGCTTTTTTGGGGGGGGGAGTTCCAATCGTGGGGCCTGAACTCTGGGCCTGGGCACTGTCCCTCAGCTCTTCAGCTCAAGGCTAGCGCTCTACCACTTGAGCCACAGCGCCACTTCCGGCTTTTTTTCTTTTTGCTTATGTGGTGCTGAGGAATCGAACCCAGGGCCTCAGGCATGCAAGGCAAGCGCTCTACCACTGAGCCACCTTCCCAGCCCTAAATCAATGGTATTCTGGATGCATACTATTCACATGCTTAGGTTTAACACTTGCCTAGACATCTCACAACTTAATTGCAATACACAGAGGATTGAAGAATGTATTATAAAAATATTTGTATCAATGGCTGAATCTCAGAGGATGACATACTTTCTGGCCTGGTATTTAGAAAGCATACTTCAATCCAACAAAATCCCTAATCATTTAGATTTCACATTTACATGAATCAGGAATGAGCCAAGGGAAATGAGATAGAACTGAGTCATAAATGATTATAAGCAAGTCATTCCAGATATCTTTCCAGGTATCATACCCCTTATACTTATTATTCCATATTCTTCTTTTCTTTTTTTTTTTTTTGGTCAATCATGGGGCTTAAACTCTGGGCCTGGGCACTGTCCCTCAGCAATTCAGCTCAAGGCTAGCATTCTACCACTTGAACCAGAGTGCTACTTCTGGCTTTTTCTGCTTATGTGGTGCGGAGGAATTGATCCCAGGGCCTCATGAATGCAAGGCAAGCACTTTACCACTGAGCCACCTTCCTAGCCCATATCCCATATTCGTTTTTCTTTTCATGTCTTTTTTTTTTTTTGTTGGTCCTGGGGCTTGAACTCAGGGCCTGGGTACTGTCCTTGAGCTCTTTTTGTTCAAGGCTAGCACTCTACCACTTTGAGCCATAGCACCACTCCTGGTTTTCTGGTGGTTAATTGGAGATAAGAATCTCACACTTGGGCTGGGAAGGTGGCTCAGTGGTAGAGCACTTGCTTTGCATGCATGAGGCCCTGTGTTCCATTCCTCAGCACCACATAAGCAAAAAAAAAAGAAAAAAGCCAGAAGTGGCACTGTGCTAAAGTGGTAGAGCACTAGCCTTGAGCTGAAGAGCTGAGGGACAGCGCCCAGGCCCAGAGTTCAGGCCCCAAAACCAGACCAAAAAAAAAAAAAAAGAATCTCACACTTTCCTGCTAGGGCTGCCTATGAACCATGATCCTCAGAGCTCAGCCTCCTGAGGAGTTAGGATTACAAGGGGTGAGCCACCAGTGCCCCACGGTATTGAAGCTTTTAAACTCAGAGTCTCAGACTTACTAGGCAGGCACTCTAAACTTAGCCAGCTTACCCCTTTTTACTCCAGTTATTTTTCATATAGTGTTACAGGCATGTGCCACCACTCCTAGCCTGAGAAATTAGTTTTGATTTGGTTACTGTGGGTCTGTCGAAGTCTTAAATAGAACATGGGCTGGGCTCTAGTGGCTCAGACCTGCAATCCTAGCTACTGGGGAAGCTGAGATCTGAAGATTGAGGTTGAGGTTGAAAGCCACCAGAAAACCAGAAGTGGCGCTGTGGTTCAAGTGGTAGAGAGCCTGCCTTGAACTGAAGAGCTCAGGGACAGTGCCTAGGCCTAGAATTCAAGTTCTATGACCGACAAAAACAAAAACAAATACAAAACCTAAAGATAATGAAGTCTAATTTCTTGAGGTTGTTTTTTGTTTGTTTGTTTTGGTAGGTCCTGGGGCTTGAACTCTTGGCCTGAGTGCTGTCCCTCAGCTCTTCAGCTCAAGGCTGGCACTCTACTAGTTGAGCCACAACACCACTTCTGGCTTTTTCTGCTTATGTAGTGCTGAGGAATTAAACCCAGGGCCTCATGCGTACAAGGCAAGAACTCTAGCACTGAGCCACATTCCCAGCCTTGAGGTTGTTTTAAACATTAAATTACATGATCCATATACCTGGCACGTAAGATAAAAATATTTCTTCCTCTAATAATCATATTAATATAATATTTACAATAATATTATATATCATAATACTATTATCACTGTTATCATTAAATTACTAGGCCTGATTCTATTTTTCCAAATACTGTATTCTCTTATTTCAAATTCTCTTTATCATAAATCCAAATAGATTCAATGAAGTAAGTCTGTACCTTCGTTTTGTTCAAATTCATCTAACACCTTGTCCAGGTTATAAGCTTCTGCCTGGAAATAATTCTCCATCAGTGAGGAAACACAGCTTAAGAGACGTTTTTTTAAAGCCTAAAAAAGAGTAGATAAAATTGGTATTGAGCTCTGAATTATTAAAATATAACTTATAAATCTTAAATATAAAAGAATATAATCTCATAAATCTACATAGACAATGCAAACAATAAAGCTTGTCATGCCCCTAAAGATCTTGTTTTATTTTTGGTTGATCATGAGGCCTGAACTCTGGGCCTGGGCACTGTCCCTCAGCTCTTCAGCTCAAGGCTAGCGTTCCTACCACTTAAGCCACAACGCTACTTCCAGCCTTTTCTGCTTATGTGGTGCTGAGCACTCGAACCCAGGGCCTCATGCATGCAAGGCAAGCACTCTACCACTGAGCCACCTTCTCACCCACCCCCAAAGATCTTTAAGTTAGAAACTGAAGGACGACAATCATCAAAATACAGTTGGTCCTCTGAATCTGTGAGTTCCTGTATCTGCAGCCATAGCCAATCACAGATGGAAAATCTTTTGAAAGAAATCGCATCTGTACTGAATATGTACAAATAGGATTTCTTGTCATTATTCTCTAAACAATATAACAAAACAATTCTTCACCAAGATTTTATATTTTATATGGTTTTATAATAATCTAAAGATGATTTGAGTATATAGGAGGATATGACACAGATTATATAAAATACTACACAATTTCATATAAATGACTTGCATATCCATGGGTTTTGGAATCTGCAGGGGTACTTGTACAATTCCCCCACGGACACTGAGGGACAATCATAGAACTAAACAAAGAAGGCACACCTGTTCAACTCAATAGAGCATGCTTCAAAAGACCAATCTCAGATGTTGAGAAAATTATTGTTCTGACTGGGATAAAAATACATTTCTAACAGAAGAGGAAGTTTTCAGAATTTTTGTCAACTGGGGAATGACAGGAAAGTATAAGCATGGAATAAAGGATGCTACTTGCTTTTTTCAATACTATTTCTTCTCTTTAATACTATTTCCTAGCTCCCTTAACTTATCTAAATGTTATCCTCTGGATGTAGATGCTAACTGTGTCAACTATTTATCAGAATGCCAGGAGCCCATAGTGGGAGTTAAATAAATTATCCCACCCCTGTGTATGATTCCATTATCAGGATCTCTTTGCTTATCTATTTCCTTAATTTCTCAAAAAAATGTTTTTCAAACTGGAAACTTCACTTGTCTTCTTATTGCTATATACAAGATCGTCAGATTACAATTTCCACAAAAAGTCTAAAGAAACAAGAAGGAAAATCAGAAATGTAATACTCTGCTATTATAAATGTTTAAATCAAATATAAAAAATGACAAATGACAAATGCTTTTTATTTATAATGCTTATTTTCTCTCATTTTATAAATAAGAAAATAAACTCAGGGAATTTAATTGACTTTTTTTTGGGGGGGGGGGTCTGGTCGTGGGGCCTGAACTCTGGGCCTGGGCGCTGTCCCTCAGCTCTTCAGCTCAAGGCTAGCACTCTACTACTTGAGCCACAGCGCCACTTCCGGCTTTTTTTTTTTCTGCTTATGTGGTGCTGAAGAATCGAACCCAGGCCCTGATGCATGCAAGGCAAGCGCTCTACCACTGAGCCAACTTCCCAGCCCTCAATTGACTTTTTAAGTACTCCCCCCCCCCCCCCCCCCCGCCAAGATGATAGATTAGATGAAATAGGCAGATAGATAGTGGTACAGGGTTAGAACTCAGAACATTAAGACTGCTTCGCCAAGAACAAATGTCTCCACTCCTTTTTGTTTTGGCTACCTTTGAGACAGAGTCTCACATTTTGCCTGAATCAGTCTAGTCTGTGATTCTCTTGTGTTCAATTCTTGCTATAGCTGGGATGACAGACATGGACTACCATGCCCAGCTATTATGGCACATGGTTAGTGTTTCTTTTCCCTGTTGAAACAGTTTGACCCAGACTGGCCTGGAACCTCTGTCTTGATCCCAGCCATTACAGAGCAAGAATGACAGACAGGAACAACGGTTGAGATGGTTGAGATAACTGTCTTAATTTTTTGTTTGGACTAGCATCAGAATTGTAATCCTCAAATCCCCTCTTGCCACTGCTCAGGATTACAGGTGTGAGCTACTGGTACCTGTTCTCAAGTTTATTTTATTTAAGTCAACTTACCTACCACCAGCATGTTCATCATTATAAAAAGTTAAAGCTGGCACCAGTGACTCACCCCTGTAATCCTAGCTGCTCAGAAGGCTGAAATCTGAGGATCAAGGTTCAAAGCCAGCCCAGGCAGGAAAGTCTGTGAGACTTTTATCTCCAATTAAGCACCAGAAAACCAGAAGTGGAGCTTTGGCTCAAGTGGTAGAGCACTCACCTTGAGCTAAAGAACTTAGGGACAGTGCCCAAGCCTTACAACCAATAAAAAAAAAGTAAATAACCAAACTAACATACTTATTGTACATCTACTGTGTAAAGAGTATTTCAATTAATTAAAGTCTCAGACATAATCCATAATGTCAAGGAGCTTATACTTTACTTAGTAAACAATAAGAAAATTTAAGTAATAATGTTTTTAATAACAACTCAGTACAAGAGACAATATATCATCAGATGCTCTATGATTAATTTGTCAGATAAAACAGATAAGCACTATAAAATAAACATTACAGAAGTCCAAGAAGTTATTTAAATTCACTTTCTTGAGCTTGAGAGCTGCTTGTGGGGCCTGAACTCTGGGCCTGGGCACTGCCCCTCAGCCCTTCAGCTCAAGGCTAGCACTCTACCACTGGAGCCACGGCACCACTTCTGGCTTTTTCTGCTTATGCGGTGCTAAGGAATCGAACCCAGGGCCTCATGATGCAAGGCAAGCACTCTACCACTGAGCCACCTTCCCAGCCCTTGTATGATTTTTTAAAGGCAAGGATTCTGTAAACCCCGGAAAGATTAGGATTCCTCTTATTCCCCAATAATCTACTCTCTTGATCAGAGAAAAGAACATGGATTTGAGAAATAGTGTTAGTGCTGGGCACTGGTGGCTCATGCCTATAATACTAGCAACTCAGGAGACTGAGATCTGAGGACTGAGGTTTGAAGTCAGCTAAGCAGCAGTAAATTGATTCTAAAAGGAGAAAGCCAGCCCTGCTTGAGAATTTAACAGTAATTTAAAAACACTTTCTTGTTCTGGATTAAAGCAGATCTTTTCTGAACAAGTTTGTTTCTGGTTTAATAAGAGACGTTATAAAGAAAGTAAATAGAACATATGAATCAGCATTGCTTCCTATAGCTCTAGTTGTTTTCTCAAGGTCAGTTTCATAAAGAAATGAAAACACTGGTTTTCTTACCTTCTTCCCTTTATGCACGTGATAAGGAACAGCCTGCTCCTTGCTTACTCATGATGCTTGCTGCACCATCAGGCAGTCCTGATGATTCAGTATGCCCTGGCTGATCCTAAAGAAAACAGACTGCTCATTACATTTGCTAAAACAATAAGCCATAATTTTCATCATATAAATCTATCATCGCCAGACAAATAAAAGCAATGGAGTTTAACAATAAACTATAATTATATCTTCAGGTTCAAAGACCTGCTTATAGGGAATTCAGCAGTATACAAATTTCATTGCCTAAGAAAGCCAAAAATTAAATGTGTCAAGGAAGAGTTAAGAATTTCTGCACACTCATGTTCAGTGGATAATACATGGTGAAACATCAAGAACAAGTACTTTCTATATAATTACTTCAATCATCTTAATTCATAAAAATATCATTTACTTTTTATTACAATAGGCCCTCTGAGAATCCAAGTTAAGAAGACTGTTGCTTCCTAAGAAATGTCTTTTTTTTGGGGGGGGGGGTCCGGTCATGGGGCTTGAACTCTGGGCCTGGGCACTGTCCCTCAGCTCTTCAGCTCAAGGCTAGTGCTCTACCACTTGACCCACAGTGCCACTTCCAGATTTTTTTCTTTTTGCTTATATGGTGCTAGGAATCGAACCCAGGGCCTCATGCATGCAAGGCAAGCGCTCTACCACTGAGCCACCTTCCCAGCCCCAAGAATGTCTTCTTGTATGATTATTTTTCCTATATCTAGAGTTCTTGAGTTCTAAAAGCTTCCTATTGAGAAGTTATTGCCAAGCAACTGTTCTTCCTCCAAATGGAGTTTCTCTGTATTCCAGTCATCCTCCATTGCTTGAAAGCAGTGGCTTGCTAGGTACCAGTGGCTGATGCCTGTAATCCTAGCTACACAGGAGGCTGAGATCTGAAAATCAAGGTTTGAAGCCAGCCCAGACAGAAAAGTTCATGAGACTCTTATCTCCAATAAACTACTCAGAAAAAAAACAAAAATAGTGCTGTGCTCAAATGGTAGAGCACTAGCTTTGAACACAAAGAGGCTCAGGAACAGCAACCAGGCCCTGAGTTTAAGCCTCAAGACTGGCATTTAAAAAAAAAAAAACCAAGAGTAAGAATATCCTATTATCAGTATATTAGTACAGATCAAATTGAAAAAATAAAATAAAAATAAAGCCAGGTGCTCGTGGCTCACGCCTATAATCCTAGCTACTCCGGAGGTTGAGATCTGAGGATCACAGTTCAAAGCCAGCCCAGGTAGGAAAGTCTGAGAAACTCTTATCTCCAGTAAATCACCAGAAAAAAGGAAGTGGCTCAAGTGACAGAGTGCTAGCCTTGAGGTGAAGAGCTAAGGGATAGTGCCCAGGCCCAGAGTTCAAGCCCCATGACCAACAAAAAAATAAAACAAAAATCTTTTTTTTGTTGTTTGAATTTTGTTGCTTGAATTCAGGCCTACGTGCAGTCTCTGACCTTTTTGCTCAAGGCTACCATTCTACCATTTGAGCCATAGCTCCACTTCAAGCTTTTTGGTAGCTAGAGGTAAGAGTCTCATGAACTTTCCTTTTCCTGGCTAGCTTCAAACAATCCTCAGATCTCAGCCTCCTTTGTTGCTAGGATTACAGGCATGAGACACTGGCACCCAGCTCCAAATGAATATTTTTAATAAGTAATCAGTTGGTGGAGGGCAGGGCAAAAACTCTGCTATGAGAATCTGCCAGACACAAATTTGAATTCATGTCTAGTCTTTAACAGCTAGTTCTACATTCAGCAGCTTATTTAACCTCTCTGAGCCTCAGTTGCTTTGTACTTTACATAAAAACTATACTTTGTATATTAAATTTTTAGTGATGTTACTTTATATGAAGAATTTCACATTGCACAGACCTAATAGTGCTTTAAAAATGATATCTATTGTTATCCATCATCAAAAGCAACCTAGGTGAAAGAAGTAGAACAGGAAAATAAACAATGATTTGAACCATGAAACCAACCATGGACTGGTTTGTTTATATAATTAGTAATTTATCAGTAATCTATCAGGGCAGTTAGTCTTACATGATCAAGTCAAGCCTGAAGAATGAAACATAGTGAAAGAAATAAAAGTGTAACCTAATTGTTCAGCTTTCTGAAGAGGCTAAATCTGATCCTAAAAAGACAGCCTTTGAATATGAACACTCTCACAGTAGCAGTAAAAAGAAAAAATAACCACTGGAAAGAGCTTTATTCCTACTGAGGAAGACATTAAGAGAAAAGGATCTGGGAATCTGACATTGTTGTTACACCACAGTCACACAGGGTTTCAATTTCAAAGATAGCAACCCGGTATCTTTCACTAACATGGATTCTCTGTCAAGAGCTATAAAGAACAAGGTGATTGTTTGCAACTGGTACATCCTAAATAAAAGTTAAGAGTAGTTTAAAACAAATACTGGGAAAACATGATTATAATAGGGGTACAAATATTACATTGCCATCAAAATGCCTAGAACAGTAGCTGATTTGAGTCATTAAACAAAGAGCATTGGTAGCTGGGCATTGGTGGCTCATGCCAGTAATCCTAGCTATTCAAGAGGCTGAGATTCAAGGATCACAGTTCAAAGCCACCCTGGCAGGAAAGTCCACGAGACTCTTGTCTCCAATGAACCACAGAAAACCAGAAGTGGCACTGTGGCTCAAGTGGTAGAGTGCTAGCCTTGAGCTGAAGAACTTAGGGATAGCGCCCAGGCCCAGAGTTCAAGCCCCATAACCAGAAAAAAAAAAAACCATTAAATTGATAGGTGTAATTTAACTCACATCTCTTCCAGTGACCATTCTTATTGTGTATATGTTTTTTTTGGGGGGGGGGTCCGGTTGTGCGGCCTGAACTCTGGGCCTGGGCGCTGTCCCTCAGCTCTTCAGCTCAAGGCTAGCACTCTACCACTTGAGCCACAGCGCCGCTTCCGGCTTTTTTCTTTTTGCTTATGTGGTGCTGGGGAATCGAACCCAGGGCCTCAGGCATGCAAGGCAAGCACTCTACCACTGAGCCACCTTCCCAGCCCCTTGTGTATATGTTTTTAAGGCTATAATATAGTAAATAACACCTGCATCTTTATACTTTTAATGTATAATAAATTTCCAAAAGAAAATACACATTTTAACTTTTCATATTGTCAAATTTTCCACCAAACTTGATATTTACATATGTTTTCTCCAGACATATACAAGTATCTTTCTTCTTCACAATCTTATGACTACTGAGTAAAATCAAACTTAACCAATGTTACAGAAAGGAAATAGGACCTAATTTCCTAATTCGTATTTTTAATTTTGAACAAAAATGTAATACACACTTCTATCTTTCCCATGTTTATACTTTCCTGTTTTTACTGGTCTCTCTGCAATTGCAGAATTTGTCCCAGTTTAGTGGAGCTTTTCCTACATGGATGTCTCCTATTTGACAAATTGGTCAATCTTTTCCGTTTTGGTGTCTACATTTCAAATCATGCTTAGAAAAGTAAACATTATAAAAAGATTTAACTGTTTTTTTCTGCTATTTTCATGATTATTTTTTTGGGGGGAAGGGGGAGTCATGGGGCCCTGGGTACTGTCCCTCGGTTCAGAAGCTCAAGGCGAGGGCTCTACCACTTAAGCCACAGCGCCACATCTGGTTTTCTGGTGGTTTACTGGAGATAAGAGTCTCACAGGGGCTGGGAAGGTGGCTCAGTGGTAGAGCACTTGCCTTGCATGCATGAGGCCCTGGGTTCGATTCCTCAGGTACCACATAAGCAGAAAAAGCTGGAAGTGGCACTGTGGCTCAAATGATAGAACAAAAAGAGCCTCACAGACTTTCCTGCCTGGCCTTGCTTTGAACTGTGATCCTCAGATCTCAGTCTCCTGAGTAGCTAGCATTGCAGGTATGAGCCACTGGCGCCCAGCTCATGATTGCTTTTGTTTTACTCTTTCATCATCAAGAATCTGTATAACTTGCTCTCCTTGTTCACTAATACATCTTATATCCAAGTAACAATAGCTCACACCTGTAATGCTAGCTACTCAGGAGGCTGAGACCTAGAAGATGAAGGTTTGAAGCCTTCCAGGGCAGGAAAATCTGATAGACTCTATCTCCAATTAACCAGCAAAAGGCTAAAAGCAGAAATCAAGTAGTGGAGTGCCATCTATAAGCAACCTAACTGAGGGAAAGCACAAGGTCCCAAATTCAAGCCATGGTTTCTGCTTAAACACACACACACACACCTATAACCTTGTTTAATTGTGTGCATACACATCTACAATATATCCATATCATAGTTCACATTTTGTTAATTATATATAGCCCTAATGAGCACTTATATTTTCCCACATTTTTGATTACCTAGAATGCAGATATACTTGTATATATGTGTGTGTGTTAAAGATAAATATTAAGTAGTAGAACTACTGAGTCATTAATATGTCATTTTGATACTGATAATTTACCTCCAAAATGATAAAGTTTATACATATCATGCTTTAATATTTTAATTGACTACCTATATTCATTCATTTGACAAATATTTAAATGTGTTTTTTGTACTAGATATTGTTAATAGAGGGCAGGCATACAACATAATGGTAACTAATCCAAACAAGAATACAGTTATAGTGATTAAGGATACAAGTCTAGGGCTGGGAAGGTATCCCAGTGGTAGAATGCTTGCCTTGCATGCATGAGGCCCTGGGTTCAATTCCTCAGCACCACATAAGCAGAAAAAGCCCAAAGTGGGGCTATGGCTCAAGTGGTAGAGTGATAGCCTTGAGCTGAAGAGCTCAGGGACAATACCCAGTCCCAGTGTTCAGGCCCCACGACCGGACCCCACCCCCCCAAAAAAGAAAGTGTTTTTGTAGAATCATCATTTCTCCAATAACTGGTAAGATTAAACACATAATTTTACCATATTAGCTTCTTGTATTTCCTATTCTGTGATTTTTTTTCTGTTGGATATTTGTATTTTTTAATGGTCTTTACATATCTTGGGCACTAATCCATTGTTTAAAAAACAGTGCAAGCTGGACACCAATGGCTTAAGCCTGTAATCCT